TATTATTTTCGCTATTCTTCATCCACCGATGCAGAAAATTATCCAGTTTTCCATTCTCATATGAGGCCGGAAAGTTTATTGGCAACAGGTCGGCACGAAGTGATTCATCATGCTCAAACATGAGGCGATCGTTCGTTAGGGACGGTTTATAGATCATAAAATTCCCACAAATGGAATGAGAAGTGGGTCCATGTAAATGATCGAGACCTCGGAAACAACAACGCTCCTTCCCCATATGGAGTTCGGAACCCAAAGGCAATCGTTGAGTGAACTGTATCTTCTTTGTGTTAGTTGACCTAAGCCGCACCATTACTGCTGGGGTGGGGCTCGGCCTCCGAACCGTACGTGGGGCGAGTTTCTGCCTCATACAGCTCGGGCCGAAGACCGGGGGGAAGTTTAGGAGAGATGGGGAGACCCAGCAGCTGCCGGTCGGGGCGGGGATAAGCTTGTGAAGAAGCAAATCCCCCCCCAAAATCCATTTATATACTATAGCGCTAGCGCTTCGCGTTCTTTTTATTTCATCCCATTTTTTTTCGGGATAGGCGGCGGATACTAATCTAATAAGTGAAGTAGTCGTCGTCTGACCAATTGGCTCGGACACCAGACCGCTCGTGCCCGCCCACTCTGTCTCGCCCTAAATGGAATGGCTCTCTTAGTTACGCTGCGCCCCGGTCTGAGTCCCCACGTCCGCTCTTATCCGCCCGCAACCCAAGAAGTTGGCTTTGCCAACACAACATTAGGGCCGTCCCCTTCATTCTATGCCGACCCCGGCACGGGGCTGGCTTTTTGGGAAGCCCGTTCCCACCGCGCTCACGGCCCGGCTGGCCTTCCAGCGGTAGTGGGAATTTTCCCGTTCCCTGGTCAAAGACTTGGTTGGATGCGGGATCTACTCCGCGAGGAGCGGTACGGACGTAGATGATATCATCACGACCTCTCTTTTCGTACCGCTAGGGATGCTTAACGCCACATCGCCAACTGGCATTACCTGCGCTTTCGTCTCTCTCAGTGTGGTCAGCACTGGGTGTTTCCGAGCTGCGAGGCTTACACCCATTCGCATTAGTTCATCCAAAGTTCCTTACCCTTATGCACGAATGATTGAATAAGCCATCTTCCTATCAAGGTTAAGGAGTCAACTGAGCATCTCAGCGGCGGGATTGAATACCCGGATCGAGTCAGAGTTCACGCCGCCCGCCCCGAACAAATAGGAGGCGTGGGCCACAGGTCGCACATAAGCCGCCGGGTCGCACGACAGAAGAACACCCAACATACAGATGCACACTCCAAAATGTGAAATATTCATCTTCATTGGAGCTTTTTGGTGGTAGTCGTGACCAACAACCATCAGCTGTCGGCTCGTTGGTAAGGCGAGAGCTTCAAGCCCGATTTCAGGTTCAGGTGGCACACCCCCCACACAAGCACCACCCGACGAAGGGGGGACGGGGAAAGCTACAGGCCCAAAACCTTCGACCCTTCTTTCTAAATGGGGGTGCCCGGAGCACCCCATCTTGTCATTTCGTTGTTGCTCATTCCCGTTAGGGTTAGACCGAAGTCTTTGGTGTATCCTTCTCCGCGCCCGCTCACGCTTTGCTGACCTATCGCGTGGTAAAGAGAAGAGAGTACGAAAGAATAGTAAACAGAGCACACCGCAGAAAGATTCTAAATATGAGAAGTCCCCCTTGGATTCAATAAGAAGGAAATGAAGAACGGGAACGAAACGAAATGAGGCGTTTCCAGCTCTAGTTTCGGATGAGCTTCTCCCAATTATGTCTGGTAATAGAATAGGGCGGCTTGCTCTGACCAAGACTCCACTTTTTGCTCCGTCCATGGAGCGTATGAATTTCCTGGAATGTAGATAGACCAAAAGAGGGAATGAAGGGATAAGAATAGGAATTATAGTCCCATTGGAAAAAGGGGCACCTGTGGGAACATCTCTACTGACGAACCATTTCAATAGTAAGGGTGCTGCCGTGCCACGAGGCACGACCATAGAAGTAATGAAAAAGAAAAAGTTATGTAGTTGGACCATCTGCTCTATCCGTTCGAGTTTCGCTTCTCTAGATAAGATGAGACGCTAAAAATGAAAGTGTTCGCAACGCATACCGAAAGGATACCAATGAAGCCGACCATTAATGACTAGTTCGAACACCAGGAGCGGTCTGATCCCTGATTTGATCAAACAGACTGCTCTTAGAAAGATGAAAGAAAAGCAAACTCTCCAAATTAAATTGTTGACCAACCTTTCCTTCAATGATAAAGGCAAGAAGACTTTCCGGCCAGGCCTTACTATAACCAACCTCACAGATCCCACTCTATCTTTTACACCGATGTATCGTACTCTCTCGACCAGGTCATCATAAGAAAATACTGCGAAATCTTTCCGAAGTGAGAGAAGGAGGGAAGGCGCGCTACAACTAACATAACAGCCAGCTGAAAAACGCTAGCTAGCTAGGCTAGCGCGCAATGGCTTTCTCTGATAGGGGCTCGCTTCTTCAAGCTCCGCCCAACCTATACAAGGTGCTGCTCGCTTTCTCTCAGCCACCAGTGGCTTATGTAGTGGCATTCCTACGTGCTCCTCTTTGCCCCCTACTTAAGAATCCAAAGGTGACCTTTGGCTGTTGTCTTGACGCTTTGGTTACGAAAGTAGCCGGGGTCTAGGTTTATTGATGGATTTTGTCAGCGAAAGTCCCTTAAACTCAATCAATATCAACAACATGTCGTGACCGGTTAGGCTTGGTGGATTTTGTCAGAAAAGAAAGTAGGTTTCGGGGGTGGGTTCATTGATTAGTACACCTCCGGTGCTGATAAGGTCGGGACCGTGGTCGTCCGTCTCAGGTTTGCCGGCCGATAAGATCTCTGAGATTGACCAGCCAGCTGGGTTGGTTTGGCTATTCCTTTCTATTGAAAAGAAGGAGTCAGCTGTCTGCGCGAGTCACCTTCTTCTAGGCTCCGCTGGACGACACGGCATTCTCGTTTAAGGCCGACCGCACTTGTGATGGTTCCCCAAGATCCAATATTATATGACCACTTAGGTCTACGTTGCCACGATATTGTTCTATGGAAGCGGGCGGGCTGTTAGAAGTTCGGCCCGGTTTTTTTTTGGTGTCGTAGGGGAGGGATTGACCTTTTTAACGCATATTCACTCGTACCGGCATGGCCTCACTGATTTGTTTTCGATCGGAGCATCAAGCAGCGCAACCCGGTTCTACTTGACTAAGCCCCGTGCTCGTCCAAGGAGGGAGTTTGCTTTACCCAACTCCCTTTTTGATAACAAGGCAGAAACCCCCGACATTCATTAGTTTCGAATGAAGAATGAAGAGTGCCCCAGCAAGCACCTACTCCTATCAAAATTCAAAGCGTTACTTTACTAAACAAGCAATAAAAGCTCTTTACTAATAACATAGAAAGGGCTTTTCTCGCTTGTAGCTTTCTTCGCATGCTTGAGCGCATTAATAGAATACATATAAAATACAAAATTAACTTGAGTTTTCAATAAGGCTCGCGTAGGGGCCCTCACGTTTTTTGGCTTACCTAAAATCTAAGATTTTTAAGTTGGTAAAGACCCACCCCTTGTTTCAGTCAGAATGAGTCCCCGGGACCCCGGGACATTGGCTTCTGCCAACAGTGGACTATTAAGGATCGCATCCCGCGCATATTCTACATTATAGCCTGCAACTGATTCAGCTTCCGCTTCTGGGAGATCAAACGGAGCTCGATTAGTTTCTGCTAGACGAGAAATGAAGAACATAACCAATACAGGGAACAAGGGAATACCGGACCATATCTGCTTTTGCGCCATGACAATCTCACTCGAATTACGGGGACCTACACATATTAGTACAGTATACCGGGGTCCCCGGCCAGAACCACACGTGCAAGTTTCCCTGCATGTGGCTCGTCCGCGCTTTCCGAGGCGCTGCCTGTGACTCAGCATGGGATAAGAGGGCGTCACGTCACACTTTCGTGTTTAGAGCATTGTCCGAGTGAATAGGCAGCGCCTACCAAGCAAAGCTTTCTTGAAGAGGCTGGTTCCTTTTCGGCGCCCGCATTTTTTTTAGATGTAGGGGCAAGGCAAGCCCCAGGAAAGTCTAGGCTCCCAGCTCAATCTCGGCCGGCATCCAGCTCTCGAGGGGGTGGGGTCCTGGAGCGAACTACTCATTGCAGTCTTGCCCCAACCCAAGGCCGTTAAGGTTGGTGAGGAGCATTGTTTTGAGGGAGGGAAAGCGTGGTTGACAAGCCACTTCGAGGAAGCGACTGGAGTGCTTTCATCAAATGATGCATATGGGCTGAGCCATTCCCATCCCAAGTGGTGGCCCGATTCGGCCTGGCCTGGTCGGGAAGAGATTCACATAGAGACTTTTGCTATCCGGGAATCTCTTTCTATGTTAGCTAGCGGGGGCAGGCTTTCCTATGATAGTCCCGCTGCGGCCTCTGACCGTCCGTTACGTCTCATCTTGATTTGGCTATACTTGTATGTAGCCAGCCATGTTAGCTTCACATGAGAGAGCCCTTTTTTTTAAGGCTAAAAACTCATCAGTCAGCTCGACCCCTTTCCTATTCAGCTTTGCTGCCTATTAAGAGAATAGGTCCCGTTCAAGCGGCCCGCCTTTATTCATCTATACCAGCTGCCCCACGCACGACCCAATAGGAACGATTTCAGCGCCCCTATCTAGATAAGAAGCAGAACGCGCCATCACCTACAGCCCTTTCCTCTGCCGGGGACTTCCACGAAATGAAAACGGGCGGCATCGTCGTATGCTCGACATTGGTTGCCCAGGTTTATATCCCGGAGTACTCCTATGGCCGATCTGTCACCCAACCTACTCAAAAATCTAAAGGCTTGACCCCGTCCCGTTTGGAAAATGACCCTTATGGCATGGCTTAGTCAGTTATTCTCGCAGTTCAGATAAGATTCGGACCGCCACTTCTCTGAAAGCATGTTTCTTGCCTTCCTCTTTCCTCCCTCCTTGGAGCTCGTCCATTCGTTAGGTGATCCCTTGCTCTCACGTTCGAGTGTTTGCTCGTCGTTTAGGCCGGTGAGTGAGATTTCTGCTCATTGCAGTCACCTCCGGGGTTCTTCGCACCTGGATAGTACCAGGACCCTTGTGCCCCGGCCCTTGATCAGATAAATCCGCCCTTAAACCAAAAACTAAAAATGAGCCTTGCGACGAGACGCGGACATCCCCCATGCTGCGGTTCCCTCCGGTCCGTTCTCGGGTTGGGTTAGGGGAACATCCGAGCGATTGCCTTCGCGGATCCAAACGCGCTCACAAGGCGCACAATAAGAATAAGACCAATAGAGACTTCATAAGAGACCATTTGAGCTGCAGATCGTAATGCTCCTAGAAAGGCATATTTCGAATATAGAGGAGTGAAAGTTCCCAACAACGAGTTGATCATACCCTTCTTTGAACCGTACGAGCACGTCCTCTGTAACCCCCCCACCGCGCTTACGGCTCTATACCCCAACCCAACTTGCTCTGGCCCCCGGTCCTCCCTTTCTATTCCTCGGTAAGCGGACCGTGGGAGCATGAGGGGGGGCGATATCCGCTTTTGACTGATAGAAAGCATCTCTCTTTTGTCCCTCCTGACCGAACCCGAAAAGAATAACTTTATGCCACTTTGTACACTTTAGTGTAGGCACCTTCTTTAAACGTGCCAAGCTGTGGAAGAGAGGTGCCAGGGGAATCAATGCTCTCAGCTGAAACAGGGCTTGAAGCCTTCGAAAAACCTTTATGCTCTTTTCTTCCTATCGAGTGGCGTCAACCGGACTGAAAAATAGAATAGCTGATCGAGCTCTTTGGTACGCGGCTAACCTTTTAAATGGAGCTGTTCTTGCTACTCCCATAAACTAAATAAATTGGGTGGGTAGGATAAGGACTCTTATCATACAACTCTTTTTCTTGCTCTTCTGGTGTCCTTTTATTATCTCTTGGCCCGTTGCGCCTGTTTGACCAATGAGAGTCCAGACTGGAGCTCATCTGATTCATTCTTCCATTCGTCAGTATCATCAAAGCAGCTGAACTCAATCCCGATGGCTACCAGTGTCGATTGGCATTCCGCTTCTATAAACTATATATATACTACAGATGTGACCATGATTCTATCTTGGTGAGAGTGGCGTGACTTGAAGCTGCACGGAGACCATTTCCTTTTCTTGCTCTCGTGCTGGATGTCATCTCGGCATATCGGTCGGTTTAAGATGAATCCGGGGGAGGGATAAATCCTCCATTGGCCGTTGACCTTTGATTCTCTTCTCTGAACAGCTCTTAGGCTAAGATTGAGTTGAATCTGCTTCTCTTCCGTATTCCTCAGCTCGACTTTCTGTTGCCGAAGCTGTCTTGAGGCCCTTTCTTTCCGGCTTCCTTGAGTCAGCTCGGTAGCTAGTCTAGTAAAATAGCCTCTTCTCTTCCCTTAACCTTAATAGGGCTTGCTCCTTCTTCTCGTCCACTCGGGAATGAAGCCTTACCTTTCGCTACTAACCTGTTAAATGGAGTTGAGCTGGCTACAAAAAAAATGGCTTCAGTGATGGTTGCTTCATCAAATCAAATATAGGTGGCAGGGTCAGACTTTGAGAAAGAGTCCACTGCTGTCCAGTCATAGTCAGTAGGAGCAGCTCCGGCTCAGCTCGATCAAATTTCAAAATTTAACTCTGGCCTTGTAGTACCTCGCTATCCTCTGTTGGTAAGTAGCCATTCTGAACTGAGCTTGCTTTCTTAACTCTTAAATTAGGTCGAAGTTGGTCCTCAACTCTTCTTCGTTGGAACCCACATTTTGAAAAGTTCTGTTAGGTTCTTAGTAGCAGTCGACGACCTTTTCTTCCTTCTTTTACTTCACATAGCTTTTCGTCTCCTTGATAGCTGGAAGTTCTCCAAAAGTATGAAAAGCTGGAGGACTTTGTACCAGCCATTCCAGTGTGGTTGAATTTTGTTCAACAGCCCAAGGAATGTTCGCCCTTGTTATGTTATTTCCACTGCTTGAAGTGATTGTTACGACCACGAAGAAACGACGAATCCCAACTACGGATATATAAGAGCCAAAACTGCTAAGGGCATTCCATCCAGCGTAAGCATCTGGATAATCTGGAATGCGACGTGGCATACCCGAAAGCCCTAAGAAATGCATGGGAAAGAGGGTCAGATTAACCCCGAAAAAAGTGATCCAAAAATGGATTTGACCTAAAGTTTCAGGGTATGTCCGACCAAAGATTTTACCCACCCAATAGTGAAATCCTGCAAATAAAGCAAAAACGGCTCCCATAGAAAGTACATAATGGAAATGTGCAACCACATAATAAGTATCATGTAGAGCAATGTCTAGCCCTGAATTTGCCAGGACTATTCCAGTGAGTCCTCCTATGGTAAACAAAAAGATGAACCCTACAGCAAATAACATGGGTGTTTTGTATTGTATCGAACCCCCCCACATGGTAGCGATCCAACTAAATATTTTAATTCCAGTGGGGACAGCTATGATCATGGTAGCAGCGGTGAAGTAGGCACGGGTATCAACGTCTAAGCCCACAGTAAACATATGATGAGCCCAAACAAGAAATCCAAGAACACCTATACTGATCATGGCATAAACCATGCCTAGATACCCGAAGACCGGTTTTCCCGAAAAAGTCGAAACGATATGACTTATGATACCGGATCCAGGCAGAATTGGAATATACACCTCTGGATGACCGAAGAACCGAAAGAGATGCTGGTATAATATGGGGTCTCCCCCTCCTGCGGGATCAGAAAAGGTTGTATTAAAGTTTCGATCGGTTAATAACATTGTAATTGCCCCTGCCAGTACCGGAAGTGATAATAAAAGTGGGAATGCTGTTACTGGAACGGACCACACAAATAGGGGTGATCTATGCATAGTCATTCCAGGTCCACGCATGTTGGAGATAGTTGTTATAAAATTGATAGAACCTAAAATGGATGAAACACCAGATAGATGAAGACTAGAAATTGCTGAATCAACTGCTCCTCCAGAATGGCTGGTAATACCACTTAAGGGCGGATAGACCGTCCACCCAGTGCCGCTACCCACCTCTACTAAGGCTGAGCTTAATAGGAGCAAGAGACTTGGCGACAACAACCAGAATGAAATATTATTTAATCTTGGAAATGCCATGTCAGGTGCACCTATAAGAATCGGAACAGACCAATTACCAGATCCACCTATCATCGCCGGCATAACCATAAAAAAGATCATTAAAAAAGCGTGAGCCGTTATTAAAACATTATAAAGTTGATGATTCCCACCAAGAATTTGATCGCCGGGTCGTGCTAATTCCATACGAATCAATACTGAGAAGCATGTGCCCATCACTCCAGCAATGGCACCGAAGATGAAATATAGAGTCCCTATATCCTTGTGGTTAGTGGAGAACAGCCATCGGACCGGATTTGTCATAAAATGGAGATTCTTTCGTTTCCTTCCTTATCAGAGAGGGGCCCCTTCTTAGGGAGCGGGGCTTCCTTCTTGAAAAAGGGGGAGTGAGAGGGGAAGGGAGAATGAAAAGAGGGGTGGGGAAGGTCCGGAAAGCCCTCACTTTATTGATGGGAAATTTTTATCCCCTTTCCTCTCCCCCCCGGTTCTGGTTCAGGAAAAGGTCAACGCAAGGATCTTACTTCGAAGCAATCTCTGGAGTTTTCCCTTATCCGAACAGGTCTTGAAAAAAATAGGATTTCATATTGAGCTCCAAATAAACGCTATTGGGATAGGATGGTTCCTACTAGCTCTCCCCCCTAAGAACCGCACGTGCGAGTTCCCCCGCATACGGCTCAAGTGGCGAAGGTTTGAAGACGCTCGACCCAAACAAGCAACGGCGTTCGAGCCCCTATCAGAGAAAGCCTTGGTAAAGCGCGCTAGCGCGCTTGACTTGGAGGTTCGCGCATCCTCTTGCTGGGAGAGAGGAACGAATCCTTCGCGCTTGGTAAGCGCTTCGCTGTAGCCAAGCTTACTGCTAGCCTATCGCCTAGAGCCAAGCTTCGACCGCGACTGCTCGTCACTTCTGGGCGCCTTTTTCCGTCACCCGAGATCCAAGTCAGCACCGGCAAAGATCTCTTGATTCCTCGCGGCCGGCTTGGAAGCAAGCTACCTATCGCCTATCTCACCCCCTTTCTTATTATTAGTAAGATAGGTTGCCCCTTTCCCCTTTCTCTAAGAAGAAGGTAAGCATCCCTCACTGCCGATCGCCTTCAGCAGGGTGAGCCTTCGCTTTTTGGATCGTCTTCTGCCCAATGTCAATGTGGTACCCTCCCGTTTTTGGTTCCCATTGGGTTTACCTTGTTTACAGGTCGACCCCATGGCAGCAAGAAAAAAAAGGCGATCTTGTGCTATACTCCGGTGATCTCTTTCCTACCGAGGCACGCAAACCCCCATCGTGTCCCAGATCACATTCCGTAAATCGAAAGGGGAAGCCTACTCATCCATCAGCTCCTCTCGTAGATCGGTGCGGTTTTACGAAGCGTCTAAGCACAGTTCACTCGCATTGATCAATCAAGAGCTTTGCCGCCACTCCTTAAGGTTACCTGTTGTATCAGACACTTCTTTAATTCTTTCCCACGCTGCATACCCCCTTATTCTTAAGGTAAGGTAAAGGGCCAGGCATGGTGGGGTAGGAGCATTCTGCCAGCAATCTTTTTGGCTTGACCAAGAAGTCTTATGTCCTCCGAGTCGCACGGCGTTTTAACCGAAAAAACTTCTTTCGCAATTCATGCTTTTCTGTTTTTATGACCAGATATTTTTTCTTGATTTCCATTTCAAATTGTTCTCTGGACTTTTTATCAATATGAGGTGATCGTAACACAGTATATAAGACTCGTGATTCAGGCAATCCAATCTTCCGTGTGTAAGGCGGAAGCCCCCCAAAATGGTTTTCAAAAAATGGGTGATCAAAAGATCGAATCACTATGCGTATCTTGGTGGTCATTACTTTAAAATATCTTTTTGGCTGACTCATCTTCCTGTTCTATTGATCAAAAGAAAGGCACACTTATCTCCGAAATCGGACATTTGCCGAGTTATTATCCGTTCTCCGCCTTATTATAGGAGATATTTACCAGATTAGACTCTGCGCTCTCCAAGACTCTGCCACTCTTACTCTTCCACTTGACAGGTACGGATATCTTGGACTCATAGACCGAGCTGCTTTCTTTATGCAAGGTAATATAGGAAAAAAGGATCAATCCATTTTAATCTCTCCCTTAGAAGGGAAATCAACCAATACTTTTTACAAAAGGGAAACTCATGAAATTTCCTCTCCTTATCGACTAACTCGCCTAACCTACAAGCGGAAAGAGTTTCACCTCCTCTGCGAAACCTCTGCTCGAAGCCGAATTCCTCTTTTTCCTTTTCTGCGTGCCATTCCTGCGATGTTTCAAACAACACATGTAAAAAATATCATAAGAGAAGAATTGGCAAGTAAAGTCGTACGCCAGGTTCACCAGGTTCTACCACTGCAGGGCTCAATCATGCTAGTTAGGCTATATGCTTAACACATGCAATTCTAACGAAGTGCTCTTGGACGA